CCAAGTATAGAAATACAATATTTTTATGTGAATCTACAGCTGTAGAAATACAATATAGTTAAGAATATTTTTGTAATAGTCTACAAAAGGATCTCAGGATGTGATTTAGCTTTAACTGTCTTTCTAAAAGCATTTGCAATACTTCTGTGTTTCATTGAATGCAAGGAGGCATTTTAAATAAATTTCCAAGTTTTGAAACTAGGTAGAATGTAAAATTCAAAATATTTCTCCTAATTTTGGCTATGCTAAGTTAACTCTAGAAATATTAATGATTTCTAAAATGTATTTCTGCAAAATTCAATATTATTGAGTTATTAAGGAGTCAACATTAGCTTCCCAGCACTTTGGCAAAAATCAAGTTCTCTCCTCTCTTATTTCAATTTACCACTAAAACAATATATTCAAGGATTATCATCTATAATTATTCAGTTAAACTTTATCATTGTATTTCTCAAAATAAAACATTAGGTGGAAGTTTTACATTTATTTTACTTAAAATTATTTTTCTGTACATCCATACAATATATTTTATACAATCACTTAAAAAGGAAGAAGTTTACCTTTGTTATATAATGTGTATATGTCTACAATGTATTGTGAAGTGAAAAAAAGCACAAGTTAGAGAGCACATGGGAAAAATAGTAAATATCAATTTTCTTCATGTATATATATTTATGTGAAACTATAGAAAGATGAAAGACAAATATAAGTATTAGTTGTGTGCTTAGGATTCCAGCTGATTCTTATTTTCTTTATTAATCTTTTAAAATGTTTAAAGGATTTGGTCATGAGCAGATATTAGTGTTGTCATTGGAAAAATGTATTAAATCAAAACCAGTCTTTAATAGATAGATTTGAGCATGGTGGAAATTGTGATGATAAAACAGATTGCTAAGCTGAAAGTCTCACAAAATTCTTTCTCTTTCATTAGATGGTAATTCCTAAAACTCATAAAATTTGAGTGAAAACAAAAAGGAGGAACTTGGCTCCCGTGAAGGCATGACCTCTATGCTGTGCCCTAACCGGTGATTCCTCACTTCCCATCCAAAACCCAGTGACCCTTTGACAAATGCTCCCTGGATGGGGTGGCTCTTCCAGCAGGAATCCAGCTCTACTACAGTTTTTCTCTTTTTCTTAATTCTGATGTATAAAACTTCCCAGGAGACTTTGATTCTACATCCAATCGAACAATAAGCCTCACCTCCCCTTTCTTGTAATGTCTATGACCCCCATCACTCTTCGCCATAATCACTGCCAATCATCAGACTTTCGTCCTGGGGGCCTAAAGAAATGGAAAATTCCCAACAGATACTCCACCTCCCTTTTCTCCCTTCTTTTATTCAATCTACATACGTCAATTTAACCCATTCTTCTTTCTCAAATGTTACATTTAAATATATTACTTTTCTGTTGAAAATTCTATAATTCTTTCCAATATAAGAACAAAGTCTGTAGGCTAAAATTCAAAGCTCTCCATAAGCTAAGCTCACTGGTTGGACAATTTTGTCTGCCCCAAGCCTCCAGTAAATTCTCCGCTCAATGATAAAAGCCAAATCACTGAATTAACCTTTCATTTCAATACTACCACGTGATGGTTCTGACTGTTTTCTCTGCCAGAGGTGACTTACCTCATGGATTCTACCAGACTCGGTTTTATAAAGTAAAGCCAAATTTAGGCTCCACACTTCAGATGTTCCTAACCCACTTGATCCTTGGAGAACTGTTCTTTCCCAAGGCCTGTCCTACCTATGCATTATGTTGCTCAACTATTTTGGTGCACGGGAATGCTTTCTCTCCAGCAAAATGTCACATGCCTAAAGGACAAGAGGTGTGTTTTATCATTTATATTTTTAAATCACCTAGAACTGCGGTTCTTCATAATCTTTTAAGAGTTGGCACTCAATAAATATTTTTTAATTTTCAAAAATATTAAGCATTATGGTTTCTAAACATTTTGGGAGAGAAACATAATACTTCACTTTTTTTTTTATCAGTTAAAGAATAGAATAAAAGACAAGTCAGTAAGGTTTGAGATAACTTCAATGAAAACCACTATAGTAAGTTTACCATTTTGTTCAACTTATTTCTGAAAATGTCTTTTTTCTCATTGAGGATAAGTGTTTAAATGGAGCATATAAAAAGTTTATCCAAAACACACAAATATGGCTTGCCAGTAGCAGAAATAATGTGTGTCCCTGCTTCTCTTTGTAAATAATTGAATTTGCCTCTGAAGTTCAAGAAGTTCAAGATTTCTTTTTGTGTGTGAAACTGACTGCTTCTGTTTTCTCTTTACATGCAGCAGGCTATACTCTAAAACAGAAGAAACGCTGTGCAATTGGGATTTGGTGAGCAGGGAGGATAATAGAAGAGATTGACATGACTTCCATAGAAGAGTTATTTTTAAGCTTAGAGAATGCCTATCCCCATGTTGAAAGGGCCTTTAGAAAATACTATTGGGACTGAAAGACAGTGGAAACGAAAATCTCCATCATCCCAGAGAGCTGTGCTGGTCCGCAGGGTGCTGCTGCCACCTGCTGCATACAAACAGCCATGGAGGGGCTATCACCTGCGTCTCACAGCTGCAGGACACCAGGTGCATTCAATTAAGATTCTGCAGGCATCTGAATTTTTTCCTCTCTTAGAGCTTGGGCGGATCCCAAAGGAAAACTAGTCAAATCTGATCACTCCAGGCTACAGAGGTTTCTAGGTATAAGAACCATGAACTAGGCCCTGAATAAATACCCAAAATGGGCCAGTTTGCCCAGTGGCCACTGAACAAGTGCTTTGGATAGCTCAACCCAATGAGAGGTAAGGATTCCATTAAAAAGTGAGTCTGTAACTCCGGGGAGAAAAAATGACAATTTCCTTTTTTTCTGAATTTCAGGTGTTTAATTTTTAAAATTTTTTGAAGAGTTGCTTTACTTTAAAGCAATAAGAAATAGGAGATGTATAAATATGTCAAGAGAAAGAGGGTATTGTTTTGAGAGAATTCAATAAATTTACATTTTTATTGGTTTCCACTTAGATAAATCCCTCTTACTACAAGAAGTGGAGTAAGGTAATTGTTTCTTCCCCAGGCTTGTTGTGTGTCCTGATTTAAAGGGACACCAAATTAGAGATCAGCATCTTCTCCGTGTTATCTCTTGCACTGTTTTTGGCTCTATGGTCCATCACTGTAATTTACTGGACTTTCTAGGGGAAATGAAGAAGAGATAAAGGCATCAAGAGCAGTGATGTCCCCTCCTCCTTTCAATCAAAGTCTTTTAACTCCACAAGCCTCTCTGAAATGTCCTTGTCATCACCAGTAAACTGAGACTTGGTGGGGAGGTTGTGGGGAGGGGAGGTGGAGTAAATGTTTGCAGAGCCCGAAATTAGGAAGTAGGTAACTCCACCTTCCAGCCTTTCTAGGAAACATCATTAGCCAAGTAGTAATGAGTAAGTATGACAGTTGTCATGGCAAGTATTTCCAGTGACAGTGTACAAGGCAGTCTGGACATACAGAAAGACAGAAGCCCTGTTTCACCACATGCTAATCACTCTTCTCCCAGCTAAATTCTAATCTCCTCAGTGACAAGGATGATGCCTCATGCCTCAGTGTCATCTATATTCTGACCCAAGTCCTTGCATTGGACAGGTCAATATATACTTAATGATATGACATGATGTCATTATACATGATGACATGGAACATGATGGCAATCTGGTGAAAATTATCTCTAAAAAAAATCACCTCAGGAATAGAGCATAGTCTTCTCCTTTGTTTTCAGGTTTGCTGGATGCTGCCAATGGTAGCAGTGTAGTAGTGAGATTGAGGTCACAGAATATTTCAGCAATTGTTCATACAGTTGTAGGTAGACACATATTTACTCACTTTTTTACAAACTTTTTTTGTGTGTTTATTACACTTGCATTGTAATCATGCTTGTTTTCTGGATGTTAGAAAGTGAAGATGGTCTCTTTTACCCTAAACTGGAAAACCATACAGTCACAACTGCCGGGGGACTGTCATCATGTCTCAGGAGTCACTTTTCTTTTTTTCTTTTTCCTTTTTTTAAATTTTATTTTAATTTATTTTTTCAAATACATTTGTCTCTGCCTACCCCCCACCACTTTCCCTTGCCCCCTCCTTCCAAGGAGTCACTTTTCTGATCCAGTCTCTGCCCTCTGCAAATAGAAGTGACTGGGTAGATCTAACAGGCATGGTGGCTGGCAGAGCAAGCAGATTCTCTGCCTTTGGATTCTGATTGAGTCAACCTTTCTCTATATGGTTTTGTGCTGAGGCACAAGCTTTTCTGCCATCCACACAGTAGGCCCCCAGGCAGCAGGGTGAGAGATTTCCCTGCCTGACTTCCAGTCTATCCAAGACTTGGGGTAGAAGAGGAGCCCTCACTTCTCTGCCCCCAGAAACATGGGTCTCCCTGCAAGAGGGGAGACAATAAAATTTGGTTTGATAGCTGTTGCTCCCCTCAGTTATTTTTCAAATTTTATTAAAATTAAATGTGTTAATTTTTTGTTCTCTCACTCCAGAGAAATTCTATAAAGAAAATGTAGTTATAAATGGAACAGAAAAACTATTATAAAAGACACAAAGCTCAAAATTGTTAAATGACTTTGTGCTCTTGAAAAGAAGTGTATAAAAAGCACATAATGAACTGCTCTGCGTGATTGCCTTTGGATTTTAGAAGCAGCTTGACTGACACAGAGATCCTGATGGGGAAAGTCTTTGGATGCTGAAAAGTCTTTTGATAAAGGTGAAACACAAGGTTTCAGAGAACAATTTTATATTGTTCCGTTGAAGGTTATACTGAGCTCTGAACCACATTACTTTCCTGTCTACGCTTCATTTCCTGGGGTCTTGCCAAGTGATAAACAGACCTAGGCGTGTGGTAGGTTTGGGGTTTTTCAGCACAAATAGGGTGGCTGGAGTTTGCTTAGTTAAAGGGCATCAATTGACTTTTGTGATCACGATGAAAATGCTGGTGTAAGGCCTTCAGGAGACAATGGAGAAAAGATGGACTTACTGTGCTGTCTATTCCATCATCCAGATACACTTTGTCAGGGGTAAGGCTTCCAGTTGTCCTTTCTTGTCAAATCAACCACTTTCGGGGGCAAATGAGAGCTCTGTTCACTTAAAATGCCTGTGACTGCTGCTGAAATTGAGCACCAAAGGCAGATCGTTGCTAAGGCTTTCAGTTATGTATTTAAGTGGCAGCTATGGGAGAGCTGTTAGAGCCTAGGAAAGATTACTAGCGAACGCTAAAACCAAGGAGGGAATGGGTGGTTTGTGCCACCACGTAGATATATTTTTACCCATTTCCTCCCTAAGAGGATCTCTGGAGTAATTGGGAAATTTTGCATCTTAGAAATGAAATGCTCTCCAAATGATAGTCAGAGCAACTCTGGAATACTAAAAATAAATTAATAAATAAATGAATCACAAAGCCACCAATGCTCAGAGATCCTTGCTCAACTTTTTCTCTTTAAACTATCCTTTTTTCCTTTTGTATGTAACATACCTTTCTCCTCCAAATGCTGTCTTTGGGAGTTGAACATATGTTGAATTTTAATGAGGCATGTGTAGATATAGACCTGGGAGACATAGTGGGGTCCTTATAACATTGGGAACCAGTGCCTAAAGGGCCTACTTAAAAATAGTGGGAGGAAAGATTAGTTCTGTATCCTACAGCATGATGGTACTACAGTGATCCTGAGTGTCTTAAGAATTAGCTGTGCTTTGCAGATAGAGCTACTAAGATTTTAAGGAGAATTTCTAAATCAAAGGAAACTTGGAGTATAATGCTGTAGATAGGATCAGAAAGACGTTATCTAGCAAAGAGGAGCTCAGGGGGAGCTATATTAAACTGCACTAACATCTGCCTACCCATACTTTTGCATTCATAAAAGTGTAATAATTCCCATTTGTCAAGTACCTTTAAGAGGCTTGTTTCTTCTCAGTTGCTTGTCATCTTTTTATCTTTCCCTTTGTTAGTTTCTGTGGTACTTGTCACAATAATATATCATTTCTGAAAAAGTATTCCATGTTAATTCTAAAACTGAGATCTACACTATTGAGGGTACGTCAAACACTCAATACTTAATGTTTTTTAAGTGTCTGTACCATTTGTTCGGAGCACTGATGTGAGTGAATCTTCTTTTATGTTAGTATTTCAAAGCATTGGTTACAGATCATGCTAACCAATGATTTATCTTTAACTGAGGTATTTTCTTTCCCCCCAACCAGGAACACTAACTACATGGGAATGAAGGCCCTCTCAAACTCAAAAATATTGAATATGAAATTTCCTACCCTTCTTGACCAGTTTGGGAGATGTTTGGAGGTTATGAGGTTATAGACAGAGCAATTTTCTAGGCAGTTGAATTCATGTTCTTTTACTGAGGTGTGACTCTGAACAAATCATTTAATCTGTGCCTCAGTTTCCTCCTTGAAAAAAAGGGTTAACAACTTCACTGTTTGGTATCAGAGAAGGATTAAATGAAACAGTGTACATAAAAGCCTCTTGTAAACATCTATTTCTAAAAACTTCTATCATAATAATTTATAGTTATTTTTGCAGTTTTAAAAAATACCACTTGAGTGTTACATACATGTTGATTCATAACAAAAAAAGCCAACTGTAGTAAGAATAGTTGCCGTAATAAGTTTGATAGTGAGTTTCAATTTTAAAGTCTTAATTTTATTCACTGGTAGTCAGAGATCTTAAATTATTTTTTAAATAGACCAACCAACAAAGAAGTAAAAAGCAGAAGTCAGTTCCTCTAGTGTCCTTAAGCTAAATGCCTTCTTGTATGTACTGAAACTCATGCTTCTCTCTCTGGGTCATATATAAGTTCTTCACAAGCCCTAAGGCAGCCAGGGAAAAAATTCCCCTGCTGCTCACTCACCTCACCAAAGTCACAAAAGTTTATAATTAAGAGTCACTCCATGTAAATCATGAAAACTGATGGCTCCTGTTCTTCCTTTTCAGGAGTGTGGGAAGGAAATTTCAGTGCAGGAGAAGAAATTTATGCTTTACCTGGCTCTGATGTCAACCTGACCTGCAAAACACAAAAGAAAAGCTTTGTGGTACAAACACAATGGTCCAAGGAGGTGGACCTCATTGCTCTTTATCATCCCCAACATGGCTTCCATTGTGCCAACGGGATTCCCTGCAAGTCACTGGTGACTTACACAGATATTCCTGGGAGTGTGACAAAATGGACTCTGCACTTAAGGAATGTGTCCTCCTTACTCAGTGGGAAGTATGAGTGCAGCTTTATTCTGTACCCAGAGGGCATTCAGACTAAAATCTACAACCTTCTCATTCAAAAAAATGGTAAGCATGACAAATATGTATCATGTGCTAACCATGTGCTGGGCATGATACACAGTACACAAGGTTAAACAAAAAGAGATATTGCTTGTAAGGATACAGAAACTGATCACATAATTCCACTAATAAATGTAAAATTGCAACAGTGATAAGAAGTGCAATGGTCTTACGAGAGAGCATATGAGAGACCAGAGAAATTATCTCTGAGAAAGCGACGTCTGAGCTGAGATCTGAAGAAAGAGTTAAGTGTTAACACCACTTCAGAGATGGGAGGTTAGTGACGAATCCAGAGAGAGGCAAGAGCTTGTATGAAGGGTTTGTAGTATTTGAGAAAATGGGAAAATGTCAGTGAAACTGTGGTGCAGAGATTAAGGAATGAAGTGTGAGGTATGGTAAGGACCAGATCATGCAAGACCTTGTCAGCCAATTTTGAGGTTTTGATTTTTATCCAAGTGCCATGGGAAGGTACTTAAATATTTTCAATGAAATTGTGGGGTGACATTTATTGCTTGATTGTATTTGTGTTATAAAAAGATCAACCTGGCTTAATATGAGAATGAAGCAAAGGTGGAGAAAGAGGAAAAAAATGAAGACAATCCCAGAAGCTCAGAAGAGACAGAGTGCTGTTTGGGTATATGTAGAAAGAAAAACATAAATTTTATGCATTGGGCATAAAAGAGATATTACTTGGTAATATAGGACGATGGCAGTATGAGTGAAGGAGAGAGAAAAATTGAAGTTGCTATCCAGGTGTTTAGCATGCACACCTGAATGGTGGTACCATTTGCTGAGATGAGAAGCAAAGGAGATAGAGCAAGTTTGTGGGGGAATTTATGAAAATGGCTTTGGATGTATTTAGTATAGTATAGCTAAGAATACCAAAAAAGCTACTGGGCATGTAGCCTTCATACAAACAAGTTTGGACACCTACATTTGCAGGGAGGAATCCTAGGTTTAAGTTCTAGCTTCTTTCTGGCTAGAAATGAATTTCACCTGGGGTCTGTCATGTCCATTCCCTGAGCCCATCTGAAAAATGACCATAATAATTCCCACCCTATATTACTTGGTCCTAAAATAAATGATTTCCATTTATACTAATAAAAATGAACAAAAACTTTAGTCAAAGAAAAATGGAAAATGCACTGGAAATAGACTGTTTTTAACTCACAGCAAAGTGGCCTGGTAATATAAGAAAAAAAACAAAAAATAACTCATGAAGTTTATGCTAAGGAAGGCATAGAACTGCCCAGCACAAGCAGGTATGGATTTATTACCTCCTCTCCATTTCTTATCAAGAGATAAGACCATGGCCCTGGCCAGGTGGCTCAGTTGGTTAGAATGTTGTCCCTTGCACCAAAAAGGTTGCAGGTTCAATTCCTGGTCAGAGCACATAACTAGATTGTGTGTTCAATCTCTGGTTGGGGTGCCTGTGGGATGCAACTGACAGATATTTCTCTCTCACATTCTCTCTCCCTCTCTCTCTCTCTCTTTCCCTCCCCACCCCTCTGTGAAAACAATAAACATATGCTCAGGTGAGGATTATAAATAAATAAATAAGACCATAGTATCGGAACTGTCCACCTGTAAACCAAAACCTCCTCCTATACCACCTTACAATGCTGTCGTCGTATTACTGCTTGCTTTCCAGAAAACAAGCTTGAGCTCAATTGGGGGTGGAGTTGCCAGGGGGAGGGTTGGTTGAGTGAATAGAAATAAGGAGAGCTGTATAGAACATCATTTAGCTGCACTGTATTGGAGTCAGGTAGCTCAGATTTTATTGTTGGCTCTGTCATTTACCATATACATCATCTTTGCCAATTGTTGTTTGTTGTTGAAGTTGTTTCGAGTCTCTAAACTTTCATTTCCCTATATAACAAACATAACACATAATTATAGTACCTTCTTTATAGATATCATTATTTTGATGATTAAATGAGATAATCTATGTAAAGCACTTAGCACAGTTCTTATCAAAGAAGAAGAGTGTGGTATATGGTAGTTTTCATTAAGTATGGTAATAGAGTACTGAGTGAACTATTAGACCTGGAACTATTTTCCAGATCTTATTAAAAATGAGTCCTCATCCCTCTCTTTTTTTATACTTGCCTAATTTGGAATCCAACAGGGCATTTTTCTACATTAGAACAAGTACATATTGATTTTGGCTTAGACAGAGATTTTGTACCTTCTGCCAAGATCTGTAAACTATATTATTACATAACTGAGGAGCTGATGTTTACTTCATTGAGATTGGCAACATGGGTTGATGTGTTTATTGGAAATAGGACATGTGTTCTGTATGAAATAGTATGTCTTCAATATGAAGACAGAAATGAAGCAGAGGTAGTATGTTATCCAAAAAGAAGGGTTTCTTAAAACAAAGGACAACCCAAGGGATCCAGTTGTAGCTACTAAAATCAGCAAGTCAGTGGAGAGACAAAGCCAGGTCTACAACCTGTGTGGTTGCAAAATTCCCAGTCCTTCAATTATTACTATGCTGTTGGTTATCTGGATCAGACAAAAAGCAATGGCCTCGGTGTGAGGGAAACAGTTCTGGTATTGTGTATTTGGGTAGAAAGGGAACAGAATAGAAAAGAGCAAAACAGAAAGAAGTAAAAATCCTTCACCATGAACTGACCAAAAATGTAAGCCTGGCACAGAACTAAGAGGTAGACACTTCACTCAGAAGAGGCAGCTGCCTTTCAAAGCCCTGTCAGGTCCCACAAGCTGATACATCTGTACCTCTTTGTTCTTTTGATCTTCTCTCACTTCTCCTCTTACCTGTGCCACTTCCCTCTTACATCCCTGTGAGATCTTCACATTTGCAAGTTAGTTGGGTAACCAAAGCACAATACGAAGTACAAGACTTGATGATACACATAAACAAATGCAGAGTGAAGTGGCATATAGGAATCTAAATAAGAAAATGCTGAGAGACCAGAGGCAGCTGGGACCTCTTCCGGTTTCCTTTCCGTGGTCATCTCAGTTATTCTCTCCCCTCATCTACTCACACAACAGGGTGTGTCTGACTCCTGCACCCTGTTCCCTGAGGGCCCAACTGAGAAGGGCTTTGTTTTTCTTTTCACAATATTTTTTTCCTGTGTGTTAGTTAGTGCTCTGAGGCTGGGGATAAGGATAGAAATATAACAAACACTTTGGTGTTTGCTTCTTACTCATTTTTACTTGACAGGGTTTCCTCTTATGTTAGGAGCTTCCAAGTTATTCCAAGGAAGTTCTCTGAGTTAAACTTTGGGTTATTGTAATCTAGAATTCTTTAATTTGAATGCTACTGGATCCCACAGTGTTTCAGGTGGTAAGATTTTGATGCATTTAAAATTTGTAGGTATTAAGATTCAGTATAAGACTACAATGGGGCTTTAATTTCCCAGGTTACAACAAAAGTCTAAGAGCACTTTTACCCTCAGTCACCATGCTACACATTAGATCCCCAGAACTTATTTCTCTTATAACTGGAAGTTTATATTTTTTGACCACCTTTAATCATTTTCCCAATTCCCCAGTCCCCACCTCTGGCAAACACCAATTTCTTCTCTCTAACTAGAAGTTCAGTTATTTTATTTTTTAGATTCCACATATGGGTGAGACCAAAGAGCATTTCTCTCTCTCTGTCTTATTTATTTTTCTTAGCATAATGCCGTCAAGTTCCATCCATTGTGTCTCAAACAACAGCTTCCTTTTTATGGCTGAATAATACTCGATTGCATATTAGAACATTTTCTTTCACTATTTATCCATTGTTATTTCAATATTTTGGCTATTAAAAATAATGCTGAAATGAATATGTGGATGCAGATATTTTTTTGAGATAGTAATTTCATATTGTTTAGATATATACCCAGAGATGGAATTACTAGATCATATGGTAGTTCTATTTTAAATTTTTGAGAAATCTCCTTGCTGTGTTCTATAGTGGCTGTACCAATCAATTTACCTCTCTTTTTTAAATTTTTTATTGTATTTTCCCCATTACCTTTTAATCCCCTTATACCCCACTCCCTACCTTGCAATCACCACATTGTTGTCAATGTCCATGAGTTGTTTTTCTTTTCTGCTCAACCCTCCATCCCTATTTTCCTTGTTAGTTCAGTTCATTAGATTCCACATATGAGTGAAATCATATGGTATCTGTCTTTCCCTAACTGACTTATTTCACTTAGCATAATGTTCTCCTGATCCATCCATACTGTTGCAAAGGGTTAACTCTCCTTCTTTTTGATGGGTGAATAGCACTCCATTGTGTGAATGTCCTATAGCTGTTTTATCCACTCATCGACTGATGGACACTTGGGCTGCTTCCATATCTTGGTGATTGTAAACAATGCTGCAATGAACATAGGGGTGTTTATGTTCTTTCAAATTAGTGTTTTGGGTTCCTTTGGATACATTTCCAGAAGTGTGATTGCTGAGTGAAAAGGCAGGTCCATTTTTAGTTTCCATAGAGGTTACACCGATTTGCATTCCCACCAACAGTGAAAAACAGTTCCCCTCTCTCCACATCCTCACCAGCAATTGCTGTTTGTTGATTTATTGATGATAGTCATTCTGACAGGTGTTAGATGGTATCTCATTGTGATTTTAACTTGCATTTTTCTGATGACTAGTGACGTTGAGATCTTTTCATATGTCTATTGGCCCTCTGTATGTCCTCTTTGAAGAAGTGTCTATTCAGGTCCTTTGCCCATTTTTTAATAGGGTTGTTTGTGGGGGGTTTTGGTATTGAGTTTTATAAGTTCTTTATAAATTTTGGATATTAAGCCCTTATCCAATAAAACATACAATCTTCCAAAACTAAATCAGGAAGAATCAGAGAATCTGAACACACAGATTACACCTAATGAAATTGAAGCAGTAATCGAAAAACTCCCAAGAAATAAAAGCCCTGGACTGGATGGCTTCAGAGGTGAATTTTACCAAACATTCCAAAAACTAATGCCTCTCCTTCTCCAACTATTTTTAAAAATTCAAGAGGAAGGAAGGCTCCC